AGGTTAACGATCAAGACCAGTTCCTACCAGGATGTAGTGGAAGGAAAGCAGCGTTCAGTAACAGGAAAGAGCGACTACACCAAACCATCACCCTTGCCTACATGACCCAGCTGAGCCCTCAAGCCACCTCCCTCATATAGTGGTGATCCAGTCATGGGGTTTCCTCCTGACAATTCTCATTCCACTCCAAGTCAAAACACTGAAGCCCTGTAGCCCCAGAAGGTACAAGCATTCCAGAACTAAGATGAGGTTGACTTGACTTCAAACGGATTTCTGATTAGGACAGCCTGTGACTTCCTGCTGACCACAGAAAGCAGGAAAATGTACTTCCTTATTACTGCTTTTGAGGCTCATATTAGGTCTATATGTTCAGTGTGTTTTTTGCCATGTGCCTGTTTTTACATACACCTTTCAGGAATGAAAGGTTTGTTCTCCCAGCTACTGCACGTTCCCAGGCAGGTAGATGTCAGCAGTCAGCCTCTCCTGTTTGGCTCACCAGAAGTCACACCTCTTCCTGGGTGGCTGGCATGCAATGCTTAATCAGAGATTAAAGCCCCAGACCCCTCATTACGATGCAGGATAGCTCTAAACGGACCTCAGCTTCAGAACTGCCCCCAAAGTTGGCTGAAGCTTCTTCTGAGAAGGCATCACAGCTCAACTTCTTCCTTTACGTTCACTTATGTTCCCTTTCTCACAAGTATGGAAGCCTGGTTAGCTTCCTGAGGCTCACCTCCATCTGAGAATCTGCTTCCCGAAATATCCATCCATCCTCTGACAGTTATGGAAACATGTGATTCAGTTAACCTGCTAGTCAAGCTGTGTTCTAACATGAAATGGAGGTCAAGCACAGGAGTGTCTTCAGTAGGATCTCCAGAATTCTATTCTATTTCTACAGAAGATTCACTGACTGATTTGCAAAGAACAATCCTGAACTTGTGCCTGGCAGTTTAAGTGACTACGAATGCAGCACAGGACCCCTGCACAGATAAGCCAGGTAGCCACAGGTTGCCAGTCATTACATGACTGATGCTAAGGATTTGTATTACTTGAAGAGGAAAACCAGGAATAGGCTATTTGCCAATGTTCTTTCTAACTCAAAGGAGTTCCCCTATCACCATCTTCCAAAATATAAGAAGAGCTTGGGTGGAGAGCCTTGGCCGACCAAGGGCCAAGCACACTCCACCTAGGTTAGAGGCTCTGGCCTTCACTTGCTGGAAAGAAGGCTTGACACACAAGGGATTGATGATTTTTTGGTCTGTTTTAATGGGATCAAAAGGTTTGCTCCATTTGAGCAGCTCCCTCAGGCTGTGGTTAGTACCCAACCAGGGAGGGGTGAACAGGGAGGGGATGGGGGAAGCACAGCATTCCTTCTAGTAGGACAGAAAACCAGACCCATTCAGACAAGCAGGAATACTTACAGAAAAGAAGCTGGCATCAAAGTCAAGGAGGGTCATGAACATCAGAACCAGCAAGATCCTGCCTCCGAGCTGCATGTACTGTTTGGGGGAGCTCTCACGCATGGTGGGGACGCCTGCGAACATGCTCTTCCCTTCAGAATGAGATTCTGCTAGGAGCAGCAACAGGCCTCCTCCCAGGGCCAGGTTCCTGAGGAACAGATATGCATGCTGAAGCAAAGCCTCACCAGGATCTGGCCTGCCTGCCAGACCAGGTGCAGGGAGACCTTGGTGCGCATATAGGAAGGCCCTTACTTCCCTTTCTCCAAACCCAGCAATCTGTGAAGCAGGACCAGGCAGGCATGCACACAGGACCTCAGACTCTGGAGTTACATCCATGTAAAACCTTACATAGCTCAAGAGACAGAGGTGTCTTTACAACTTGACAGAGATGGACTACCTGAACACACGCAGAACCAAGTCACAGCTTCAGTGTTGACCAGCTTGGTCCCCGTGGGCAGCCACATCCTCCGCTGAGACCCTGAGTCCCACGCCTGTGAAATAAGGGGCAGAAGAGATGGCTTCAGTCACTACTATTCTTGGGGCTCTGCAGCATCCTCTTCAGAACCTGCTTCTAAGAGGGACAGTTCAGACCAGAGGGTCAATCTTTTGGCTTCTCTGGGCCACACTGGAAGAATTACTTGGCCACATATAAAATACACTAATACTAATGATAGCTGAAGAGCTAAAAAAATAAAATTTAAAGATCACAAAAACTCTCATAAGTTTATAAGAAAGTTTATGAGTTTGCGTTGGGCCGCGTTCAGCCCATGGACCAAAGGCTGGACAAGCTTGATTTTGACCCAGAGATGTTAACTGAGTTTAGAAATACAGATAGGGTA